GTGCTGGTCGCTGAGGAAATACATCAACTTAGTTCTGTGGATCGCCGGATCGGCTTTCACCGTGGACGAAGCAGAGTCCATCCCGGGGTCATCACATGTGGTTGCCGCAAGCCCGCCGCCGCTCACTCAAGCCCGCCGTGTGTTTCGTTGTGAAAGCAAAACTACTTTGTTTGGTCTTCCAAAAGAGGACACGACTAGAAATCAGTGGTTAAGTTGTATTTACAACACTGTTCCAGAACACTTCAACCCAAATATTCAGATGTGTCCAGCGCATTTTATGGAGGTTTCCTGAACCTGCAGAGTAGCCTACAATGCGTCTTTGCACAAAGGCTGTTTCTATAAAGTGGGGCATTTCCAACTTTGCAAGGACAGTCTGGCACTTCTGACTCGCAGTCTGTAAGTACGTTTTCATATTTAAAGAATTTTCCACCGATGATTCAAACGCAAATTTTGAGCAGTGTAGAGTAGCGCTTGTTTGTCTTTCTCCGATCACAAATGCAGACATGGTTTTATGGTTTATGCGGCGCGATACGCAACGCAACGTGTAAAAAGTCATTATAATCCGTAATTATGTCCCCACTGAATGCAACAAATGCCTTGTTTGTAATGGGTTTTATTGGTTTTGTCTCGTCGCTCCGGGACACGGCCTGACAATATGGTAAGGGGCGTAACATTTCCGTCACACACTTGAGGTATTCGGCCAATCATAACACAACTCGCTTTTCAGACCGATGAGCTTTGTAAAAATCGGCATGTTTCAGAAAGGCGGGGCATAGAGGTGCAACAATAATGTACAGTGTGTGGAAAATAATGTGTTTTTTTTACCTTAAACCGCATAAACACATTGCATTACACCAAATACACAACAATGTTCTTTTTAGCAATGTCATATGACACCTTTACATAATCAGTTGTGTTTTAGATGCTCGCCTAATAAACGAGGCTGTAGAACCGCATCTGACAGGAGGTTCACTACAGTATCCAGACCCTTAACTTCCGCTGAAACCGCATACATTGTTGTGTCCCTGTAAATGACAGAAATAAATAAAACATGCTAAATAAGAGGTAAACAGAAGAGAACACAACTATTTGAAGAAAAAAATATTTTAAAAAAAGTGTCAGACCTGGATGTTTGGCAGTCACATATGCCTCCATGTTTCTCAAGTGTTAGGAGAATTTCATCTTTACTTCCAAACTGGGCTGTAGACTTAAATTGAAGTGTGAATCAGACTGAGTTCGGTTTTGTGCATTTAAATCAGAAGAACAGTGTCGAAGCAATTTAGTATATAAACAATTCATGCCATACAACAAATACTAACTTACAGAAAAGGAAAGCTTTTCCAAAAAGTGTGCAATTCCACTGGGATATTTTGCTTCATGACGCGAGCCTGAGTTTACTAAAACTAAAAACAAGCAGGTGAGACACAACCCTCAGTATCTGGCTCAGCTCATTTGAATCACGCGACACTTCACATTGAACTTACTTCCAACTGTACAGAATTGACCAAATTTATTCTGAGATGCAACTTTGAGTCCGTTTTCTAAGGTGGTGATTTTAGTCTCGTGTTTCTCGTGGCCGTCCACGGAGGCAAAGACAGGTTTGGGAATCCCGGGTAACGGTGTGGACAGGGACACATTGGGATACGCGCTGCCGCTGCTGTACTGCCTACATACCGCGATGCCATACCTGCAACAGTCATACACCGACAGCACTCACTGCTTCTACAGGTCATCTCTCAGCATTAAACACGCATGACAACACTGTTAAATCATGAGCAATATGATACTAACAACAACATCCACACTGGCATTTGCAATAGTTGCTGTCAATACAGTTTAATTAAGTTACCGGGGAAGCACACGATATTTTGAAGTTTGTCACAAGTGGGAAAGTGGGAGAACTTGCACAATTGGTGGCTGACTAAATACTTTTTTGCCCCACTGTATATATATATATATATATATATATATATATATATGATAGTTTAATAGATGGACCTGTAAATCAATTTGAAACCATCCTGTAGTCTCAATTCATTCATTTATTGAAATGAATGTTAGATTTGCCAGTATTTATAAATTGAATCTAAAACCCATATTGAGTAATATTTTTGTGAAAAAATGAAAGGAGTGGGAGACTGCACAAAATCAGAAGAAAACCTTTAAAAACACATCATGTTGCCATTGATTCATACTGACATTTCTATAAATGTTCACTATGCACATTCATGCAGTTCAAATGCTGCTATAATAAGCTTCTAAAGTCTAATAATGGACATCTTCACGACGCTGAACTCATTGTAGTGTAGAGAAATAAGCATATTTACAGCATCACTACTGGCCATATAGGGAAGCAGTAAACTAAGACCGCCCTACATGGACACGGTGGCAATGAAAGCTTATGTGGTCAAGTACAAACCTTTCCTTACAAGCTTTCTAACTGATCCTCTAAGTACAAAGCGCCTCTGCTCTTTTCATGTTACGATCAGTAAATGGAGGGTTTGCTGCTGTGTGGTGTAAAGTGGCCAGTCTATTGAAGAGAGTAAAGAGGTCTGTAGTACACAAAGGCTGGCTGTGATGATAATAGTGATAATGAAACACAACCAAATTAGGAATATGTAGTGAGAAAGAGAGAGAGGAGGTGCTGCTGCGCTGTGTGAAAGTTGTGATTTGCACTCGTTCTTTGAAGACACGCTCACACTAGTAAATGAGGCACAGCACAAGTATTTATGTTTTGAAATATCTGAACAATTTCGGCTACTTTATGACTGCTATCTGTTTAGCTAATGAAAGGCAGTTATGTTGAATCCTGCATTAGTATGAGGCCTTTGGACTGTTTGTTTTGCAGTGCATGAACGCATTTGGTCAGATGAGGAATGATGCTATGGACCATTATCTTCATTTGAAAGGCACAGATGAAGAGGGCTAGCATGTCTCGTCCTGTATGGAGCTCAGTTCAGATGTCCTGTTCACTCTGGCTCCTCCTTCTGTGCTCTTCTATCAGTTTTTATCCTGCTGTGTCTGAATTAGGTGAGTGTAACCTGTGTATTTTGGCTGCAAGTGTGTTTATGTTGTTTTGTTGTATTTTATTCTGCTGAACAGGCCCATAAAAATGCATGTGTGCCATGCAAATGTTTTATACGCTTGCATAATTTTACAAAAGGCTTGCCAAAACATTGTGCTGCTCCACGTGTAGCCTAGCAACGGCGGACTTCAAACTAGCCCTGCTTCCTCAAAGTGATGCCCATTTCAAATGAGATTTAATGTGGTGAAAGGTACACTGAATAGATAGCTGACTATTACTTTGCAAACAGTATGCAAATACTAATGCAATATATAATTATTTATGCTACAGATGATGCATTGTGTTTTCAGTATATTCTAAAACCTACAGAAGACACCTGACACCACATTCAAATTTGGGATTAAAAATCAAATTTAAACAAAGTTGTACCATTTTGATTGAACAAAAACAAACAAACAAAGTGATGTAAAGTGAACAAGACATATGCACACTTCTCTTTTTACTCAAATTGCTAGGTTGATAATATCATTTCTATTAAATTATACTTAAAAAACAATAATAAAATAGAAAAAAAATCACGAAATATGTGGAAAATATGGTATTTTATGCTAAATGAACATAGTCACTTGATAATGTATTACACTGTTTATTTATTTATTGTTCTTTGTCACAAAATCTAAAATATCTAGCTTCTAAAATAACTCTTTATACCCAAGTCAAACATATTTAGTTTGCTTATAATATTTATTTATTTACTTACTTCATCATTTTATATTCATTTTATTTCCGTGCACACTTTTCTCGTTTACTCAGTGTTTTCAGTGTTACCCGAAGATGGCGTTGGGATTTTAAATAGCTCTCTGATGCTGCACTGCACAGTGTTTGACTCTGGCTTGAAGGCTCCTCTACCAGTGAAATGGGAGAGAGACGCTGGAGGTCTGGACAGCAGGATTCATCAGTTGGCCAATGGCTCACTTTTCTTTCCCTACTTAAAAGAGGAAGATTTTGGAAACTATTCCTGCAGTGCAAAGAGAGGCAACAAACAGATTCAGACCACTGTCATGGTCAGCAAAGCATGTATGTATATAGCATGAGTAATTATATTAATGAATGAAATTATGATAAGAGAGATGATGTTAAAGGGATAGTTCACCCCAAAATGAAATGTCTGTCATCATTTACGCACCCTTATGTCATTTCAAACCTGTATGACTTTTTAAAGAAAGCAATAGAAAACAATTATTTTTCTCCCTTAAATGGTTACACATGGGAACTGCAATGCAGGATAAATCTATGTCAGGTGTTTACAACAAATTGTCATTGATTGTAATGTGTTTGTTTGTAGGCCTGGAGGATGTGTTCTTTCACCCTCAGTCCATGAGAACTGAAGAGGGCCGTGATGTTTTCCTTCAGTGTGTCTCGGGTGATAGTTCTCCTCCTGCTCAGATTTCATGGTTAAAAAATGGCAGAGTTCTCACCAAAGGAAACCAGATTCAGGTACAGAACTGCAAAACACACACTGTTAACCCATAAATAATGGCTATAATAAAATAAAACACAATAAACTATATTCTAAAGCTGGATTTAATTTTACTGCTTTTAAATAACACTACAGGCTAATTTATACTTACATGGGCAAACAGGCGTTGTTATTATGGTAAAATAATATATATATTGTTTGGTGATATTTTTCCTGTTAAAGGAAAGTTTCTTTCTTCATTGGAACAGATTTGGAGAAATTTTGCATTACATCACTTGCTCACCAGCGGATCCTCTGCAGTGAATGGGTGCCGTCAAAATGAGAGTCCAAACTGATAAAAACATCACAATAATCCACAAGTAATCCACACGTTTTGTGAAGTGAAAAGCTTTGTGTTTGTAATAAACTAATACATCAAGACGTTTTTATCTTCAAACTGTGCTTCCCCCTAAAATACCCCTTTTTATAGATTCCTCTATTTCTTCCTCTAATTAAAAAGTTTTAAAAGTTTTAAAAAGAAACAAACTGAATAAATATGTTGTTAGATATTGGTGTGAGAAGACAACAGAGGATGAACTTTTTCACTGGAGGAAGCATTATTATGGCCTCGGTTTTGGCCAGAAGCAGTGGTTTAAAGACAAAATGCCTTAATGATAGAATTGTTTCTTACAAACAGCTTTTCACTTCATAAGATGCTGAGTGTACCTCGCAATGGTGAGCAAGTGATGTAATGCTAAATTTATCCAAATCTGCTTAGATGAAGAAACAAACTCATCCACATGTTGGATGATCTCTATAAGTCTTGACAAATGAGAATTCGGCTATAGTCAAAGAACATTGTTGATTGGTCAAAACTGTTTGTGGGTGTGGTTTGGGCATGATGTATTTTTTTTAATTTGCAGTCACACATGCCAAATGAGTGTAGTGTAGTTCAATCATTTTTATTTACTAAATACTATATATTACCACTAGGGGCAGTATGGAGGAGGGAGTCAAAGGAAGACTTCTGGCACTTTGCACATGGCTAACATCACCAACGCAGACCAAGGAGTCTACATCTGTATCACCCACAATCCTCTGCTGAACATAAGCAAAGGAAGTCAAGCAGCAACTCTGACAGTGCATGGTAAGATAGAGAGATATACAACTCTGATATATTTGACATATTCTGACTTTCTTATTACTCAGTTACTGATATATTAATTCAGGGGTCTTTATGTCTGTTGCACAGGTTCCAATGTAGACGTAAAGATTATTGAAGGCCCCCAAAATCTTACTGTACCTGTTGAAATGGAAGCTGCACTGCACTGCTTAGTTGAAGGCTTCCCCATTCCCACAGTGCAGTGGTTTAAGGATGGACATCCATTACCCAATTCTTCTAGATGGGATCTGCAGAAGGACGGACAACTGCTGATTTTTCAGTGAGGGTTTTCTATGACAAATCACGAATAAACAAGTGTGAAATTGCAACAACAAAATATATGTATTTTGATATATATCACATCAATTTGAATATTTACAAAATCAAATACTTATAGTAAAAGACATTGTGAAACAAGTGTGAAAATCTTGTTCTAAGGAGAGTATTGTCAGAGGATGAGGGCCTGTATTTCTGTGAAGCTCACAATGAGAGGCAGAAAGTGATATCCGAGCCAGCCTACCTCCTGCCTGCAGGTACTTCTTTTTCAGATGAGCCCACTTTCATTCCAGGTGGCAGCTGTTCACACCTGTGCTATATTTAGCATATCCTTTCATCCCTTCTCACACAGTTATGGATTGGATCTTTGTTCTTGAACCTGCCAACCTAACAGTGAGGAAAGGTGAATCTGCGACTCTTTCCTGTAGGCCTCCTCACAGCAGACCCCAAGCACAAGTGTCCTGGTTTAAGAACAACAGACTCCTCCAGACAGGACCGTATTATACTTTTGATCCTACCGGAGACCTGGTCTTCCACAGGTGTGTTGTGTGGATTTGTTTGTTTTCTGCAGTTCATTGTTATCTAATCCAGTTTTTGCTAAACTGTGATGTTTATGTATATTTGTGTATAATACTGCAATTGAATCTTGTAAAATGAGAAAACAATCAAAATGTAAAATATATATTTTAATTGTGAATCTCTGTGTTTCAGTGCACAAGAGACAGACAGTGGATTGTATTTCTGCAGAGCATCTAATTCCCGTCTCAAAAGGGCTCTCACATCGAAAAAAATATTCCTGGATGTTCTTGGTAAGGAATTATTTGGCTTTCTTTGAAAGTAACCCCTAATAGATCCCTATTTAAATGTTAACCATTATGAGAATGGTTTAGTCTGAATTATGAAATTGTTATGAAATCATGCAAACCAGGTCTACTGAAACCCTATGATCAGGATTCTTAATCAAATTTGTTTAATTTAATTGGCCATTTCTATCACACCTGTAGTTCTATCATAAACCAATAGGGGTTCACTAACCCATGACTTAAGAAATCGTTTGGCGGATCATTTGTGACTTTGTATTCTTCATTATGTTTGCTCAGCTCTCATAATTAATTTCTATGGTCCATCTGGCCTTATTATTTCAGAACCTCCATCCGTGACTATCTGGCCGATGATGGTAACGTCTCCTGTAGGAGCTGAAGTATTGGATTAGAACTACGTCGATACAAAATTCACAAGAACAGTCTGGTTCAAACTCTCCGGTCTCACTCCCACAACAGATACACATTGATGGTTTGTTACATATTGAACAGATTGTAGTTTTATCATATGAAGCAGGTTTTCCCTTGTAGGCCATACTTTAAGTTTTTTTTTTTTTCAATAAAATTTTTTTTTTTACAGATAATGGGACATTAGTCATCCCCAACATCCACCGGTCTGATGCAGGGGAATATCACTGCACTGCGGAAAACAGAGTCGGTCAGGATGTGAAAAGTCTCATCATAACTGTAACTGGTGAGCAAAATGCATGAGAACTAAGATTGTTCTAGTTCTCATAGCTCCAGTAAAGATAAATCAGTTTCATGTTTGCGCATCTCGGTCTTATCTAACCAGCCAAATGCTCTAACTTAAAGCTGACTCAGATGTCCCACCTGATAAGGAAGCTCTGAGTAAAACGATTATGCCTACTGTGAGTAATTCAATATGCAGAGATAGTCATGCTGGTCCCATCTGTGACATTAGTCTCATAACACGTGACTGACACTGTGATTGTTTTGTGAGTACTTTGGCATTTTCATCAACATTCTCCACCATTTTGACCATTTTTAATTGTTTAGGCCAGTTGAATAATACCTTGCAACACCTGCATCTGGTAACAATCATGGATCTGACATTGTGTGTGTTTTTCCAACCTTGCAGGTTCCAGAGATTGAGCAAGAGCTATTTACTAATTCCTTTCTTTACGGTTCAAAGCTTCTGAGTAATACAGAGACAAATGAATCCCTTCAGCAAACAACTAAAGATTACACAAAGATGTCTTGTAAGTCCATCCTTCTTCAATCCACAAATAACATACCTTAGAGAATTTTCTTCTTCTGCAAAACTAAAAAATACTTTTTTTGGTACAGTGCTAAATGCTTTTGTGGAGGACTCACCAACATACTTGAATCTTGAATCTACCCAAGACACTATAGAGCTAATTTCACTTAAGCCAAGTTACATTAGCATAGGAAATAATGAAAAAATCAAACATCCCATTCAAACACAAAAACCAACCCCTGTGCCTCTCAAACCTACACCATTTTCCCCACTCAAAGAGACTTTTATACAGGATTCGCATGAACATATGCAACCAACAGAGCAGGCCACAAAACCTCCAGTAATGAATCCAAACACAAACAGCCCTTCATCAGCAGACTCATATTCCCATCAAATTCAGAGCTTTTCCCTGAAAAGTGCCCAGTCCTTTAGTGGACAAACTCAGACTACAGGCTTAGCTTTAATGGATGTAGAGAATTTCACTGCCTCGGCTCCTGTGCAAAAGCATCAAAATCAGAGTCAAATCATCAAGCAGTCTGGAGGTACCAAGTCATCGGTGATGAATGACACAGACCTTGTTGAGTCACTCAAGAAAAACACCTCGCAGGCCCCTATGAGGACCACTGACAATAAAAACAGGTTGGTGATCAAATTAACATCTTTGTTAATGAGCTTCTCAGTTCTTTTGCCATTTACAGCAGAGAGAAAATCTCATATTTGCTAATATCAACATTATTATTATTTTTTAGGTCATTGTTACAGCATAAGATCAATGCATACATACCTTTAAAGTAATTTATTCACAGTAATCTTTGAAACAAAAAACATTATTTCCTTTCATATTTGTAAACACTTATTAAATGTGACAGAATTAATATGTATTTTACGATATATTTCTGTGTAGGCCCTTAAATAATATGACACTACATTTTTTAGAGTTTTTTTTTACATTTTTGTCCTGTAAATGTGTAACACAAGATGGAAGACAGTTACACTGTACAATTTCAGAAGAAAGTGATTATTTTAGGTATTTTTATACCGTTTTCTTTTTGGTTTAAATCAATGATGAGCATGCATCAGTATATTTGTGACAGCTTGCAACATGACTTGACAACTTTGTTTCAGCAGTGCCTGAGTACTCTCACGGGACATATTCTCATGGGAAAGTGTGGCATGAGAAATTTTTATTTAGTTCCTTTTGATCTAGGAATTGCTGAAGCATACTGAAATTGTTTGGTTTCAGGTTGGTTCCTTCAGGCAATGTATTGTGTAACAGTTAACAATTAGCAGAAAATTACAGGCTGTTAACAAAACACATTATTGCACTGGAAGTGTAAAGGTAAGACCATCTGAAATTATCTACATTGATTTTTATGATTTAATTATAGTATTGCTGTGAGGCTTAGAAGGGATTTATGATGTTTCAGTGGCCTGAAATAATTCCTTCTTAATAAACTATAATGGCTTGTTTGAGTTGTGCTTTTCATATAACATACCTTTTTTCCTCAGAGAAAAGGAGAAATCCCAAACTTGGTTGCCTGTGATTGAGAAGCATGACATTCCCATTGTGGTTGGAGTTGGTGTTTCGTTGGCATTCATCTTCATTGCCATGGCCTTTTACTCTCTGGTTCAGAAAAATGATCCTGCAGCTGTACCTACAGGGAGGACAGGTGAGATATAGTATATATTCTAAAAATAAACATTGATACTAATTTTACTCACAGACTGTGATGAGTTCATAAATAAGATGTTCACAGAAAAATAATAAAACTTTTTTTTTCTCATAGTTCCAAGGGGAATAGGTGGGCCTTGCAGGAATGGTGAACGTCTTGCAATGGAAAGGACATACGATAACAAGTTAGTCTTGTTGAGAGCATGTTGAGAGCAATGGTATAATGCCCCTGTCAGCATTGCATTAATTGAATGGTAGTTTTGTAACTGTCTTAATGCTGGCACATTTCAGGGCATTTGAAGATGATAATTTGGTGGCTGTCATTGAGCAAAGCCCCAACACATCGGAGACAAGAGCGCTCCCAACAGAAGGCAGCCCATCCACCTTGATGATGGAACCACCGTCCGATGACTTGCAAGAGGGTGTCCAGTCCACTCAGGACATCCCAGTTATTGTGGAGACTCACCCAGAGCCTAGAGAAGAAGACCAGGTCAGAACTTTTATGGTGCTTTTCACCTCTTTAACAAATTTTATTCCAAGGTTACAAGGCTTGATCAAAAATACAGTACAAAAAGTAACAAAAGTATACAACTGGTTTCTATTTAAATAGGCCTATATCATTTAAAATGTCACATATTCCTTTGATGGCAAAACTGAATTTACAACAGCCATTTAACAGCTCCAGTCTTCAGAAACCATTCTAGTAGGCATTTCTTATTATCAGTTGTGCTGCTTAATATTTTTGTGGAAACCATGATTCACGGAAGGGCACAATTAATGCACATATTAATATTCTGTCATCATTTACTTACCTTCATTTCTTTTAATACCTGTATAACATTCTTTAAGCTGTACGGTAAACATTTTTTATTTTAAGCAGAATAACTATACAGTGAAATTGAATAGTGGCTGTCAAGCTACATTTTCAAGTTCAGTTTTTAATGAACAAAGCTATCATATGACATAAATGCATGAGTCATATGAACATTGGTGATACTGACTGAGAATGTAGGTCGGATGAAACCCACCTCTGGGAATACTGTCCTCTGGATAGTATTCCATCATGGCTGTTTAAAAAGGTCTTTGATATTATTGGCCCGAGCATTCAGTCCATTATTAATGGTAGTCTCCATTCTGTAGTGCAACCTTTTCATAAAAGGCAAATTTGGATCGTTCTGTTCTGTCCAATTTTAGATCAATTTCAAAACTGCCGTTTTTATCCAAGGTTTTAGAGAAAATTGTTCTTAGCCAATTGCAGAGTTTTTTGGACCAAAATGCTGTGTTTGAGATTTTTCAGTCTGGCTTTAAAGCTTACCACAGTGCAGAGTCTGCATTGTTAAAAGTAGCTACTTAATGATCTTTTATTATTAAGTGATTCTGGTCATTCTGTGGTCCTTATGGTTTTAGATCTCACTGCAGCTTTCGATACGATTGATCACGGGATCCTTGTTTCACACCTTGAGGAAGTAGTGGGTATTCATGGTGCTGCTCTTTAGTGGCTTAGATCATTCTTATCGAATAGAAGTTTCTCCGTCAATTCAGGTCATGCATTTTCATCTTCTGCCCCATTAATTTGTGGTGTCCCACAAGGATCCATTCTTGCCCCTATTTTATTTCCTTTATATATTTTACTTTTAGGGACAATTTTTCGAAAATATGGGATTTCATATCATTTTATGCAGATGATATGCAAATTTATTTGCCTTTGAGGAAAAATCATGTAAATGATCTGGACTCCCTTGTGAACTGTTTGAAGGAGATTAAAGCCTGGATGTCTGCGAACTTCTTATGTTTTAATGAGAGTAAGACGGAACTTTAACTTTGAACTGTCAAATTTAGGTGAGTTGACCCCTTTTTGTAAACCTGTGGTCAAAAATCTAGGGGTACTATTTGAAACCCTCAAATTTGATAAACAGATCAATTCAGTCGTTAAATCTTTTATTTATTTATTTTCTGATTAGTGGCAAAGGTTTATTAAGGTCTGAAGGTCTGATTAGTGGCATTTACAGTTTTTATAAACCATCTCTTTCTTTTAAAGATTGTGAGAAGGTGATCCATGCCTTTTTGTTTGCGAGGCTTGATTATTGCAATTCTTTGTATGTGGGTGTCTGCCAAATGGTTCTAAACCGTTTACAATTACTACAGAATGCTGCCACTTGGCTATTGTCGTAATATCTGCTGCTAGGATTTTGGTGTCTGCCAAATGGCTCTAAACCGTTTGCAATTACTACAGAATGCTGCCGCTAGGAACCCCGGGGACTTGCAAGTGGGATCATATCTCTCCTATTCTGTCCTCTCTGGGCTGGTTGCCAGTCCAGTACAGGGTCCACTTTAAGCTCCTAGTATGTGTATTATAAGTCTTTGAATGGGTTAGCTCCCTCTTACCTGTCAGAGCTCTTACAGGTGCACAAGCCTGTTAGGTCTTTAAGGTCTTCTGACCAGTCTATTTGAATTGTTCAGAGGACGAAGTACAAGCGAAGGGGTGATAGGGCCTTTGCAGTGGCGGCTCCAAAAAGATGGAACAGTCTTTCTTCTCACATTAGAGTTGCTCCTACTGTAAATATTTTTAAAAGATGTCTGAAGGCTAATTTTTTATGTTTAGCATTGGACACTGCAGTGTGTTGAGGCATTGGTTTTCGTTTGTATTGATTTTGGTGTTTTATTTGTGTTTTGATGTTGTTTTCTTTTTGAGGAATTATCTTCATTATTCAGCACTTTGGTCAACGCTCTGGTGTTTTAATAGTGCTTTATAAATAAACTAAACTGAAACTGAATGCAGCATGATCATTCTTCAAAGTTTGTCCTTTTCTGTTATATTAATAGATTCATTTTGAAATCACTAGTTTTATTTCTACACATACAGCTTTGCAGTCTTTGGGACTCCAGACATACAAAAAAACATACAGTCTGTGGGTTAATTCACAGCTATAAAGAAAGAAGCAACAGTTGTTTTCTTTTTTTAAACAATTTTCTTTTTTTCCCCATTCTGAATTAGTTGGAGACTATATTTGAGGAGGGGAAGGTCACTCCCTCACCACATTCTGACATTCAGCTTCAGTGCATGGAGGACTGGAGGAGCAGAGAGTTTGAACCAGGTCAGGACGCCCCCTCACCTCCTCCAGCCAATCCAGCACCTGCCCAGGAGGAGGGCCTGCGCACTTCTCTTACCCTCCAGACCAGTGATCCCTCCTCAACTCCCGTGCGCCACAGCATCAATATCTCCCACAGTTTCTCTCCCCTCCTGCTGTCCCATTGCGTGTCCCTGGGCATGACCTCTGTGGCTGTGGATGTGCACTTCTACCCTTCGGCCCCTTCAGCAGCCGGCCATCCTCCATGCCCTGCCTTTGGACCCCCAGGCCAACAGGTGAACACGAGGCTGGAGCATGAACTGAATGCACCCTCTGCTAGCCACAGTAAATAACAAGAGTGTGAGACAAATGTTGAAGTCACGAGAAAGCTCTTTTTTGAATTGCTCACCTCATAGGGCAAAAGGCAGTTAGGTTAAAGATGGTGCTTATGTTTTTTTTCTCTCTCTCTTTTTTTTTTAAATGATTGTCAAATTTCCCATGATGAATGGCTGCGTCTGAATTCCCATACTTTCACAGTATGTACTGAATTTGATTGAAATGACTTTGCATACTACATCCGCCATACTGGAATATGTTTCTGGTGATATGGGATGGCAAATACATTATTGGTGGTAAATTACTAACAATAAAAAAAGAAGGAAAAAAAACTATTTAAATATAATCAAAAAATATAATCATATTTGATGTCACACATTAACTTCTGGGAATGCCCTTTTACTGTCTTCAACCACAAATTATATGGCAGTTCATACTTTCAAAACCTATAAAGTTTACATTCATTTACAGTAAAATTCCATGTAATGTTTTTATCGTGAATGGTACATCTTAACAGTTAACCCATTAACAGGTTTTTACCGTAGCACTTTTACGAATATTTTTACAGTGTGGCATTAGGAAAGGGCGATATAATTACAAAATGTTTAAATATTTTTCATTTTTTTGACAAAATTTGATAATCTCAATATTTATGAATTAGCTTTGAAAAGTGTTATTATTATATTATTATTTTCAAATAAGAGGAAATATAGTAACAGCAATATAGTATTTACCTTCATATATTTTTACTAAGATATTTTAATATGTGAAAAATATCATGCATTCATTTGCATGTACTAATACCAGCCACGAAAACGTATAAAGAGCCCCAGCCTGAGCTTTCATACCTATGATGAAAATTACAGGCCTCTCTCATCTTTTTAAGTGGGAGAACTTGCACAATTGGTGGCTGACTAAATACTTTTTTTCCCCACTGTATATATATGTACTCCACATACAACTTTTTTATACTGCACAGAAGGCAAGTACGCATATTCAGACGCAGGGAACAATTGCAGGTAACATTTATCATTCATCAGGTTTAGAAACGTTGTCTTTCCTCTAATGCCAAGGACTTTATAATACTGTAAGTATTTAAGAGGAATTAAATGTATACATTAATGTATTTATGAAAATTAGATAGTATTCAGTATTTTTTTAAACAGTTCAAATAAGAAATTACTTCTACAAACCTAGCCACAGCATTATATAAAATATTGTTGAAAAAGGTCTCTACAGAAATGGAGAGAAAATGCAAAGGTTTAATAGAACTTAAAGTTGTAAAAAGGTTTTATTTGTGCAACAACTCGACTGTTACTTCTGAATGTGCCAAAGGTTAAACCACCTTACCATTAGCTATTTCTGTGACTTGTATTGTTAAACATTAATCTTAAGATATTGGGAGTATTGTACTTCATGGGCAACCAACTGTTGTATCTTTCTTTTACTTAGAAGTAAAAGTTACCAATTAATAAAACTAAGTCTCTTGTTGACTTTTTTGAAGTCATGTTTTAAAAAGCTGAGACATAAGTATCCTACCATTTACATAATTTTATTCAGAACAGGTCATGGCATGATAGATTAATTTCTTCATGTGAATTGTTATTGTCTTTATTAACGGCCACAAACTGATGGTTTTGTTAAGATTGCTGGAAATGGTAAAGAGCCATTTAAACATTTGTTGTAAAATTTGCAGTTTTATTTTTATTTTTAAACCTCTTTTGTAAATGATCAGACATACAGGTAATGTCACGGTACTGCTGTAAAATTGTAATTAAAATGTAATAAGTAGTGTAACTTTTCAATTACTTTATTAATGTAACTGATTACATTTGATCACGTTTCTAAATTTCTAATGTTTTAAACTGTTAATCATTTTCAAACATAAATCAGGCAGGGTTAACCTTACAGTAGTACTTAACAGTCAACACTGATTCCTGTCAGACTTTCGAAATCCTTCATCACTTGAATTAAGATTATATTTTAATTTTAAAGGAGACATTGGATGCAAAATTCACTTTTACATGGTGTTTGCATAAATGTATCTTAGCAGTGTGTACACCACCCTACAATGATAAAAATCCATTCACTCTTTTTTTTTAATTCCCCAAAAACCTAAACAGTCTCAATTATCCAGCCATTTTGATTTTCTGAGCAGTATGATGTCATATTTGCTCAGGCCCCGCCCACAACCACTGAAGTACTGTCTAGTATTAGCATAGTTTCACCCTCAGCTAGTTATACGAAGTCCATCATTCTCTCTGTGCTTGAACAGCTGTAGCGACAATGTCTTGTAAGCAATGCAGGTGTTTTGTGATGTAGAAGACCATAAGAGTGTTCATTTTCTGCTGACATCAGAGCCACTGAGGACACAGTGCATTAGTTTAGTTTTTGATGGTAATGCACCACCGAATACACGTAAATTAATTTTTGTCTGTGCAAATAATTTTACTCCAGACTGCTTTCTGAATGAGGGACAATTCAAGGCATATTTTATTGAAAAGATAAAACTCAAGGATAGATCAGCACCCATTGTTTGTGATCCAGCTGCACTTCAGGAAGAAGCAAGTCTCACACTTTATATTTTTGTATGATGATCATTTGCAAATTGCCTTTGCTCTTCCATGGAAGAGAGGGGCGGGGGGTGAGCAGAGCTCATTAACATTTAAAGGGACATGCCCCAAAACGAGCCGCTGTGAATAGAGCAGTGTAAAAATGGTGTTGTTTTACATGACCACTGAGGAATTTTCATGAAAATAATTATACCAACTTGTGGAAGATGGGCATCCAATGTCCCCTTTGAAGCCCAGCCACCACAAAATCAGACTTCAAGATCATTCTGAGGTTAAATACATATTTAAAATCATAACAAGAAAAATTTTATTAGCTATGATACTGTTTTTTAAATCAAATTTTTGCATAGCTATGACAAGAAACACTGTCTGGAATCTAACAATGCCTTGGAAAAAAACAGTCAATCTTAAAAAATGAAGCATAGCTATACATAAACCCATAAATGAAACAAGAGTTATCGAATAAGCATGTTCTAAACTCCTGAAACATTGGTGTTTCATATTTTAGAGCAGTCACAGCAATTCATGAAATAAATCAATTAAATCTGTATGTGGGAGTGTGTGTGAACAAATCAGATGTAACCCCCTTTGTAATTCTTTTTCATAAGTAACATTATTTGTACTGTAATTTAATTACACATTTTTTCTCAGTAACTTTAACTGATTACAGTTACATTTATTTTGTAATTAAATTACGTAATTCCGTTACATGTAACTAGTTACTTCCCAACACTGTGTGTAGGAGCGCGGCGCAAAGGAGCGAAGAGACGTAGGAGAATTTGACTAACTTTAATAATCAAAATGAAACAGGAAAACACACGTAGCAAAGGTTGACATGAACAATTCCAGACCAGGGAGAACAGAACAGGCTCGAACTCAAATAGGGCAGATAATGAGGGGCAGACAAGTGAGGAGGATAACTAATAACAAGGAACAGGTGACTACTAATAATGGGAACAAGAACCAAACCAAATAAGGACAAACAGGAACATTCTTTTTGACATATACTGCAGAAAAATCTCAGTAATGGTGCTACAAATGACTATATTTTGCTTGGAAAATATACAGGAATATTATGAGGTTACATTCATTCATGTCAAAGAAAATAAATGAATACAACAGTGAACACTGTAAAAAAGAAAAAAACACTGGCCATCTCAGATCCACAGTTCAAGGCAAATTACTTATTTCAAGTTGAACAGTGCTAGGGTGACCATACGTGCCATTTTCCCAGGACGCGTCCTGACCAGGATTTCTATATTGCCTAAAATATCTAGGTTTTGGCTTTGTTTGCGTGTGCAGACCGATCGGTGTATGACATCAAAATACCATACATGGGAAAATGGCACGTATGGTCACCCTAAACAGTGCATTGGAATTTACTTAACAGAACAGACTATGAGGCAGCAAATACAATTCATTTAAAGCTAAATGTTTATTTGGCCTGTGATGGACAGGTCATCTGTCCACTCAATGGGATAGACTACAACGACTCTACATAGGACACGCGGTTTGAAAAATGGATGGTTGTTTGGCAATATGAGTGCCAGTAAACAAATATTTCTATAAGACTGAATCAACCTGATGATTTAAGGTTTCACCATTTTTAAGGCTTAGATCAAGTGGGCTAAGTAACAAATAAGGCAACAAATGCCCATATTCACTGTCTAAAGTGAATTGTCTTCTGAATATTAATTCTTCAGTATGGAGCAAGAAATCACCAACCTTTTAGTAAAGTCTCTTACTTATCCTTTGTTAAGCTAATGATATTGCTAATATCTAATGATATTAGAATACTATGAAAATTACAAATAACAATTGTCATTACTAATTCAGTTCTGATTTACACGATAATTCATTTTCATTTGCATCTGTAATTAGAAGTCAAATTTTTGATCAGCGATTTAAAACAGATTCCAGAAGTACATTGTGCTAAAGTTCACCATGAGATGTCCTCTGGTGTTTATATTCTGGTGGAGGAGTATGGAAAGACACATACGGACACCATTTTGTATTGAGGCAAACCAGTTTCTTCAAAGTAGCAGAGTTTACTATATCAAAACCTGTCTTCCCCCCAAATGTACTGGGCTTCCAGTACTCAGGGGAGCAAATAGGATTTCCCATGAGACCTTTTAGGGAAAATGGGGCCCCCATTTCTACCATGCTTTCACCAAATATCACACCAGATCGTGTCTTCTCTAGCAAAAGAGCTGGGTAGAACTCCATAGCATCAATATCACCATACAGTTCCTCTAGTTCTTTAGCCATCTCTTCTTCTCCTGTAAAAACATAAATACATAAATATGTGGCCTGGTGGGCAGTTCATGTGTTGTGTGATAACCAGCCACTCACATTGTTTAAACATGAAAAATGGAAATTAGCTTAAAATGTATTTACCCTCAGGCCATCCAAGATAAGCATATGAGTTTGTTTCTTCATGGGAAAAGATTTTGAGAAAATTAGCATTACATCACTTGATCAACAATGGATCCTCCACAGTGAATGGGTGCCGTCAGAGTCCAAACAGCTGATAAAACAATAAAATCACAATAATGCACAAAAAAATCTACTTAACTTCAGTCCATCAATTAATGTCTGAAATTAACAGTGGTGTGCTTGTAAGAAACAAATCCTTCCGTGGGCCGTTTTAACTTTAAACCATCACTTCTGACCAAAATACCACTCCATGTGCCGTACATAATAATACCAGAGAAAAAGTGAATTCCCTGTTGTCCTCCCACATCAAAATCTGCCAACATATTTGTTTAGAACTGTTTTGGACTGTTTTCACTTATAAACAATGCTTGGTGTGTGCATATAACTCTCTGGATTCAGACAAATGACTTTTCACAGGAGAAAGCACAGTATGAAGTTAAAAACGTATTAATGATGGATTTGTTTATGACAAACAAATAGCTTTTCACTTCACAAGATGTTCATTGATGGACTGGAGTCGTGTGGATTACTTGTGAATTATTGTGATGTATTTATCAGCTGTTTGGACCGCACTCATTCACTGCAGAGCATCTATTGGTGAGCAAATGCAGTAATGCTTAAAGGGGTCTTCATTGATGGACTGGAGTCGTGTGGATTACTTGTGAATTATTGTGATGTATTTATCAGCTGTTTGGACCACACTCATTCACTGCAGAGCATCTATTGGTGAGCAAATGCAGTAATGCTTAAAGGGGTCATATTATGCTTTTTCACTTTTTTAATTTTAGTCAGTGTGTAGTGTGTATGTTTGGGCATAAAAAAGATCTAGAAAGTTACAAATCTCAAAGTCTACTCCAAAGAGATATTTAGTTTTTTTTAAATCCCTTATCAAGAACTACAACGAACGGCTCGTTTGGACTACAGCGTTGGTTTCCGGGCTTTGTGATATCACAAAGCGGCTCATTAGAATATCATTAAAAATAATTCCCGCCTACAGAAATTCGAATGGCTGGGGGGTGGGGAGGGGCGAGGCTGTGGTTAGAACGCTTGGTTGAGTGAGTGCATCAGACGAGACGATGAAGAAGAAGTGCTGCTGCAGAGTTAGTGCATCAGAGAAAACGAAGAAGAGCTGCTGTGCTGTAGCGTCAAATTTTCGGCATGTCTACAACAATTCTTACAAGTATAACGCGACATGGCTGGGCACCACGGACAGACGTCGAAAGGCACCACCGGTGTGCCTACACTCATAGAAAATAATGTATTTGAATTTTAAAGACGTGGCGCGACGCTGCGCTTCTTGTCCGGTGCGCGGACCGCCTGAAACGCTGGTTTTTTTTCACCTCCGTGCCCAAACGTCTTTGTTTGGGCTTCCGAAAGCGGATGATGTCAGGAAACAGTGGTTGCAATTTATTTTTTAACTCTGTTCCTGAGCATTATAACCCCAATTTGCTATTGTGTGCTGTGCATTTACTGAGGACAGCTTCCACAACACGAGGGAAGACGGAGCAAGGGGTGTGGCAGTACTGAAACACCGTCTAAGCTGTTCGCCAATCCCAATGCACTGGGACAGCTAATCACAACACATTTTGTTTTTCGGATGGTGGACCTTCATAAAAGCCGGAACTAATCGAGCCGTTTATGCCAGGCTGGGGAGAAAGTTATTTTAATAATGTAAATTATGTGAAAAATAATGCGTTTTTCGAACCACCAAGCATGAGAGCATGTTCTAGTACACCCCCAAAACAAAATCAAGACTTTGTAAAAGAGCATAATAGGGACCCCTTTAATTTATCAAACATCTGTTGAAATGAAGAAGCAAAACCTACATCTTGGATGGCTAGAGTAAATTTTCAGCAAATTCGCATTTTTGGTATAATCCAGTGTTTAAAGGGGTCATCGGATGCCCATTTTCCACAAGTCGATATGATTCTTTAGGGTCTTAAAGGGGTCATATGATGCTGCTAAAAAGAACATTATTTTGTGTATTTGGTGTAATGAAATGTGTTTATGCGGTTTAAGGTTCAAAAAACACATTATTTTCCACATAATGTACATTATTGTTTCTCCTCTATGCCCGCCTTTCTGAAACACGTCGATTTTTACAAAGCTCATCGGTCTGAAAAAACGAGGTGTGCTCTGATTGGTCATCTATCCAGTGGGTTGTGATTGGCCGAATTCCTCAAGCGTGTGACGGAAATGTTACGTCCCTCACCATATTGTGATGCCTGCGGCAACCACATGTGACGACCCCGTGCTGACTCAGTTTCGACCACAGTGAAAGCCGATCAGGCGATTGACAGTGCGAAGCTTACAGATCTTCTTTATGCCCCAAGAGCTTGTAACGCTCAAAAGAGAAAGGAAAAATTGAAATCGCATCATATGACCCCTTTAATAAAAAGTCTATAACATACTTTGGTTAGAATTTCTCAATTGTAGTGTTAAAAAAAAAATTTTTTTTACCCTGTCAAAATCATCTTTGTTTTCAACAAGCCGTCTTAGTGCATGTCCCTTTAAATTAGTGATCGACCGATATTGATATTTTATAACCGATACTGATACCAATTTTTTCATGTTTATGTGCCCGATAACAGATATGCAGAACCGATATTTATTTACTGTTATAAAGTAAATAAATGACTGAGTGAAGTAAGTCCATGCTTCACTTTGGTTATTCCTCCTTTCAGTCATCTTAAAAAAAAAGTGTTGAAAATTACTTTCATGTTAAATTTAATCTTCATATTACAACAATAAAAAAACATTTTATTTAAAGCATCAGCAGCAACACTAATATTAACAATAAGCAAAATAAATGTAGAAGGTCTAATGTTTTCAAATGGAGAAAATAAAATAAATAAAGTTAAGGAGTCATATCAACTTCATTTTTAGGTTTATAAGCTGTTTAATAGGCTAAAGAGTGAAGAATAATTCAATGGATAATGTTAATTCACTGAATAATATTCTCTGGAATACTGAAATATAACAAGCAAAGTTACGTCTTTATTGGGAGAGGACTTGACAGATTATCTTAGCCTGCGTGACTCCGCCTTCATGAGACGGTGAGCATATAGACAACAGAGAGAGAATTAAACTCAGCACTTTTATTTCCAACATGCACTCATTCATGGCTCCATATGATTTAATTCACGCAAAGTTACGTCTTTATTGGGACAGGACTTGACAGATTATCTTACGTGACTCCGTGAGTTCATCTCTATTTCTTCGAGCCAAGCTGCATAAACTGCATATCAGGCATTTATGTAATACATCTCATTTGTGCATTAATGGCTGTTATGTTAAATAAAGTTTACTAACTACAGTAAATCAAGTACCTGTGCACGCCGTTGTTGTTGTCTCGTTTCCCCTCAGATGCACTGCAATGGTCATCCTGTGCGCAATTCTCAAAACATCCACAAGATGGCGGCGTTTATCGGTGAATCCGATATTACAAAACCGATATCCGATTATTGTAAAATGCTTAAATATCAGGAAAAATATCGGTAAATGATATATCGGTCGATCTCTACTTTAAATGCTAATGAGCTCTGCTCTCCCCACTCCTCTCTTCCGTGGGGTGATGAGCCGTTCTCATGAGACTGTTTACTTTACTTTATTAGTACATCCAACAACAGAACACCTCAATCGCTTAGGAGCCATTCTTGTCTACTCCTGCTCCAGCGTCGAAACAATGGTGGACTGATGACAGTTCACTCAGGGCGGGTCTAAGGTAAGACGCCAGTCCAGTCTGTGCTGAAACGCTACTGTCAATCAAACTATCGTGGGACAGCCTGGGACTATATGACGTCACACAAACGGGCTTGTGCTGGAGCATTTCCTGAGCATCAACCGCATCAACCCGGTGAGTGAACAGCAATATGAAAGCGGCTTCATGAGACTAATGATGAGCAAATATACAACAGAGAGAGAGAAATAAATTTAGCGTTTTTATTTCCAACATGCTCTCATTCATCTACATATTATTTAATTCACGCAAAGTTACGTCTTTATTGGGAGAGGACTTGACAGATTATCTTAGCCTACGTGACTCCGCCTTCATGAGACGGTGAGCATATAGACAACAGAGAGAGAATTAAACTCAGCACTTTTATTTCCAACATGCGCCCATTCATGGCTCCATATTATTTAATTCACGCAAAGTTACGTCTTTATTGGGACAGGACTTGACAGATTATCTTACGTGACTCCGTGAGTTCATCTCTATTTCTTAAACATCCACAAGATGGCGGCGTTTATCGGTGAATCCGATATTACAAAACCGATATCCGATTATTGTAAAATGCTTAAATATCAGGAAAAATATCGGTAAATCGATATATCGGTCGATCTCTACTTTAAATGCTAATGAGCTCTGCTCTCCCCACTCCTCTCTTCCGTGGGGTGATGAGCCGTTCTCATGAGACAGTGTGCATTGAATTTATTTAATACACGAGTTTCACAATTTAAGTTGAATTACTGAAATAAATTAACTTTTCCACGACATTCTAATTTATTGACATGCACCTGTATACTGTGTGTGTGTGTGTATTTATATATACACATAACTATACAAAAACGTTTATTTTGGGATGCGATTAATCGTTTGACAGCACTAATATAAACTAATAATACTAATTGTATTTTTATAGAAATTATACATGTAATTTTAAAAATAAAAAAAACAACACTTAGAGCAATTAAACTTTTTTTGCACTTGTAACTTGCAATTCTTATTCCTAATCCAAATTTTAATTCAAATTTACAGTTCTGCATCCTATTCATTTCAATTCAAATTCAGGAACTGGACCTGGAATTTAAATTGCATTGTTATGTAAATTATAAGTACATTATTTTCAATGTAATATATATTTTAATGTATTCTCTCAACATATTTATTGTAATTGCCCATTTTGATATAAATTTTTGTAACAGTCATATATTATATCAACCAAAGGTTCCCAAGCAAAATAAAAGCCACAGGATTTGAGGAAATCTGTACCTATAATAATGAGCCTGGTGGTCTGAAACAGCTGCTCATCCCCCCAGGTAGGATGTTCTTGTTTCAAGATATCACACACACGGTTGTGCTCACGCAGCCACAAGGTGGCGTACATACTGAGACCCGGCAGCAGGCCAAACACTTCTTGCCCAATGGCCAGCTGCTGCTCCGGTGGGACAGATGGAGGGTAGCTCATTTTGACCGGTGCATCTAGCACTGTGGGGGGATACATCTCACCATTGACCACCTATATCAGAGCCAAACAGAAAAAAATATTGTAAAATGTTGTAATGTTTTCTCTTATCTCTTTGCACTACCAGTAATAATCAAAGAAATTGCATTCTTTTGAGTTTTCGCTTCATCAAAGAATCCAGAAAAAAATGTATCATGCTTACCACAAAAATATTGCACAACTCTTTCCAAACATTGATAATAATAAGAATGCTTCTTGAGCACCAAATCGGCATATCAGAATGATTTCTGAACAATCATGATACCGAAGACTTTAGTTGGCTGCTGAAAATTCAGTTTTGCCATCACAGGAATAAATTACATTTTAAAATATAGCAAAACACAGAACAGTTATTTTAAAATTGCACTCAAATTTCACAATATTACTATTTTTTATTGTATTTCTTGATCAAATGAGACTTCCTTTCCTGGAATTTCTTTAAAAGTTTACTATTAGTGAACTGTATTGCATAATCACACTAGAGACTAGACTAAACACAGTGTGCACCATCTTAAATGACATCACTGAGGCTTAACAAAAACCACATGTTCACACCCACAATTCTGCGGCCACACTATGAGGTTATCCACACAGACATTCAGAAGGAAATGCTTGCACATAGCTGCAAAATGAAGCAACTGAAAATGCACAGGGCCTCATTCATGAAACACGAGCAGAAATAATCTGTATATATCATTTGTAAAACAGGTAAATATGATTCAGAATAAACTGTTGTTTTATGGTATAAGTGATCAAAGTGAAGCTATTGGAATCTAAGAGATCCACTGTAGCCTAATCCTCAGAATGATAGATCATATTTACATGTTTTACAAATATGTACAAATGAATTCTGCTTGTCTTTCTAAAATGAGAAATGAACAGAATGACATATCACATTTACTTGGAGACATGCTCAGCCTAGCACGACAAAGCATGCCTGATGTTTAACTGGTGAACGGTACCTGGTACTTCAACTTCCCGTCTTTGTGCAGTCTGAGGTCCAGCTGGCGATCAAGAGTATCTCCATAAACGTGTCCAGCATCCACCTAGTTTTCAATATGCAATCAAATACAGACACTCTTAATAAATACTGTACAAAACCTCATTCTTCAAAAAAAGTTGTGTGTGTTTCCCAACACTTACACAAACTTTCACAAAAAAAGTTACAAAAATACCACTGGTGCGGTACCATTTCAAAAGATACTAATATGTTCTCTTAAAGTACTGATATGTACCTTCAAGGAATTAATATGTACCATTTAGGGTTAAAAAAAGTACAAAGATACACCCCACAAGTGACACTTTTGTTCAGTTTTTCTGAGTGTACTGTACAACACACATTTGAAACAATCAATTATAAATTCCTTTCCACCTTCCTGTAAATAGTATGTAAAATTATGCTTGTGTGCTGACAGTGAGATAAAGATTTGTTGACCCTTCCCCCATTCCTTCCAACACTATATGTAACACGAGTGTTAACTTGGTTCCTGCTCATCCCACTGTGAAAAAACAGCATTAAGTTATTTCTCTGACCAAGAAGGACTTCAGTGTCCAAGAGAAACATCTTATCATCTCTCTCATTAACAAAAACCATCTGCACAAACTTTTATAAGCTCTTTCCTGCAGGCAGAGCCATCAAACACTGTATTTGATTGGTTAAGAGATCAAATGTTCAATTGTAAAAACTGTGACTCACCCCATGAGCCAGACCTTTTGTGAACCCAAGTCCAATGTGGTTGTGAGTCTTAAAAAACTGGTGCGTGAAGTGCTGAGCGAAAAATGCAAACATTAAATTTGTTCCCTGAGGGTCCGGTCTGAAATTCTGCCTTAACAGGAACTTCTCTGCCAGAAGCTTGGGGTCTGGAAGCTTAATTTTTCCTGAGAAACACATGGAATGGTTTTACCACAGCCTCAGAAGACAAGGTATTTCCGGTGACTTTAGTATACTACTGATATACTTGGAGCATTTTAATATCGCTTCTTATGAGGAAAATGAATTTTCAGTTCATGCGTCCTTCAGAAGGAAGAGGCACTAGTGATTTGGGGAAAAATTTTATTATAGTCTATTACCTTTGGTTCCCATTGGCAAGGGGCAGTCCTGAGGGACTGGGGGAAGAATTCTTGTGTAGTAGGTGATGTTGGAATACGCTTCCCAGTTCAAGTAGTCATATTTGGAATTGTACGTCGGGGGACTTGGGATCAAGTTGGCTCTTACTGTAATGGGAAAGAACATTTAAGAACACCATCAGACAAAATAATATCTAGAAAAACACTGAAACAAAGGCCAGAAATTATGCATACATTTTATTTGCTGTCATATATATCTCTAGATCTTAGTCAACCACTACACAAAACCTTTTCCTACTATTTAACAGTTATTTTCTCTGGTTGAAAGTCAACCTAAAAACATCAAAGATTTTACTGACTCTGGACTGTGTAAATATTTATGTGATAATTTTTTTTTTGCACATTTACCTCCCCAGCTATGGGTGTACAGCCAAAAGATTTCCAACAAACAAATAATTTGCAACATAAAAGCCTAGCAAAGATAAGATACAGCATTGCGTAATCTTCGAATACAGCTGTGGTTTTCAAAATTAAGGGTGGAGGTATTGTAAGGGAGCACAGGAGACTCCCTAGTTTCCAACTTTCATTCACTTTCACACATTCAAATCTGTGTGTAAATTATACATGTGAGAACCAGTAAGGTTTGAGTGCAGTGTCTTCTGCTCTGCCTTCTACTCCTTATATGGTGTTGAGTGTACAATTCAGTTTTTTGTAAGCGATGACAAAATTACATTTCAGTCTGTTTTCAAAATAAAGTAATCAACTGACTTCAAATAACTTGGAATAATGCACACAAATCAATAGCACATGGGCTACTTTTATGGGACCTTTTATCAAGTCAAGTCACCTTTATTTATATAGTGTTTTATATAATACAGATTTTAAAGCAGCAACATTTATGTGTTTTCAATGTCAATCCTCTTGTCCCACATCAAAACATCATAAGACATTATAAGGAAATGTTTTTCATTTCCTATTTCTTATTTTTAATTATCCTTTTTTTTTGCAACAGATAATATATAGTAAATAACAAAATGTTTTTTTTATGTTTTATTCATAATGAAAGTTATACTCTTCACTGAAACAACAAAATAGTGAAAATAGGACCTTCTTTATATTAAGTGTTTAACTACTTTTTTACTAACATTTAAAATAATAATTTAGTATACCTACCCTTACACATATCCCACCTCAAAAAGCAGCAAATGTTTTTCAATAAAACATGAACACATAAGCACATTATACCTAATAATACATGTATACACTGTAAAAAATGACCATGAATTTAACTGTAAAAGACTGTAAAAATGCTACAGTAAAAACCTGGTAAATGGTTAACGGTAAATTCCCCTACTATATACGGTGAAAAACTGTACTGGACATTATATGTAATTTTACGGTAGTATACAATTTTTGGAAGTGAAAAAGACGATTTGTGAATAACCGTAAATTGACATTCCGAGAATTCCCAGTGTTACATTTCAAATTTGATATTTTTTTGTTGAAATAACTAAGTTTCTTCATAGTTTTTTCTTATCAGTTTTGTATATTAGGGTTGTGTGTTACACCTAATGTTGTTAAATGAATGTTTATTGCATTATTTCAGTTTCATGTGTGTTACCATGATGGTGTTTGTGTGAATGACACTGTGCACCTTCTATATATGTTATTATTTAAAAGCTGCTTGTGATGGGCTTTGGTTCATCATGAGACTTTCTCATCACCACCTGCATTTGGTGGTTATCAGTGTATTACAAAAGTACAAAACAGATTTCATTACTTCAATAGGTTGGTATATTAACATTATATCAGTTAATGAAATTACGGTATTTAACAGTAAGTTTAAATTAAAACCGTAAAACCTAAAACGCTACTGTATTTTTTACGGTAAATTTCCGGTAACCACAGCTGCTGTTTTTTTACCGTAAATTTTAAGAATTTTTTTTTACAGTGTATATTTTGATGTAAATACATTGTATAAATATAAAGTGGAAAGGAAATGTTTTTCACTAGTGTTGTTTTTGGCGGCCTGTTTTAATTTTAGTTTTAGTCTATTCTTTGTGTGAAACTGTCATTTTAGTTTTTATTAGTTTTAGTCACGTTCATACTCTTTTTAGTCTAGTCAAGTTTTAGTCGACTAAAAGTCTGAGCATTTTAGTCTAGTTTTAGTCGACGAAAACTGATGACATTTAGTCTAGTTTTAGTCAATGAAAATTGTATTTTAGTCTCTTTTTAGAAATGCAATTCTATTTAACCCAGTCAATATAAGTAAGAATAAGTAAGTTCCGTATCAGTTACAAAATATTATTACTTGCCTATAAGGCCCTTAATGGGTTAGCTCCTGCGTACCTAACTAGTCTTCTACCACGCTACAATCCATCACGCTCCCTAAGGTCGCATTTTATTCGTCAATGATATTGCATTGTACATTTAATTATCGTCATCGTCACATGACCAGCATTTTCGTCTCGTCTCGTTTTCGTCACGTGATAAAGGTTCGTTGACGACTATATTTAGTCATAATTTTCGTTGACGAGAGCAACACTATTTTTCACACAGCAGGTATTCAATAAATATGCAGCTAATATTGTGGGTAATATGGAGGTGCATAAAAGTTTTACTAATTTAAAAGGGAGGTATCAACAAAAAATTTTTGAAACACCTTCACATAGGTAGCCTTATTCTGAACTAACTTGCTCTCTATTACACTTTCCTGGAACAATACCTCAGGATATTAAGTACCCTGGCTCGCACCAGGAAATAGTTTGGCCTACAGCAGTGTGAAGAACATGAGGAATTTGAGGGCCTCTTGCAGAGTACATGAGCGTTGCCATGGCAAGTGGCGTTGGGGCTCGAAATAAGCACAGATTGAAATGATAGCCTCCTGTGACTCTGGTGTATCTTGCAACCACATTTACATTACATCAAGTCTAACTGACTTGAATGTCTTTACAGGAAAACATTGCAGAGCGTCAACTGGGAGGAAATGATAAAAAAGGGGCTGTACATTAGAAAAGGGGCCACATAAAACAAAGCGGTGACTGAGTAAATAAGGGAAGGATGCTGAGTTAAAGGAGACTCCCTTTACAAGAAAAGAAAAACACAACCAGGCCACATTTATTCACACCCTGCCATTTGCTCTGACAACCACTGCAGAGTACGATAAATCACAATAATCGAAAGCCCTGGACAGAAACACCACTATCTGAACTACATCCAAGCCATTTCGATTACAGACAGTTTTGCCAAAGCAAAGAAAATGGACAACATCTAATCTATCGACCAAGACAGTAAATAGAATTTCTGTCTAAACTACACGTGTGGTCTGAAAGTAGTTACTCAGCCAAAGACCTCAATGTCTATGCTGATAAAACATTGATGTATACACTCTGTGAGTGAACATTCTCCTCTTCCCCTAAAAAAGTATTGAAGACCAAGCTTAAGAAGTTTTTACACGGGAACAGTGGCTGAGTAAATTGAAAGCTGGAGTTGAATCACCCAATTCAATGCATTTCGCCATTATGCTAACCTGGAAATGAGTTAGCATTTTGCATAATCCTGAGGTCAGTGGGTTTTTAAATTGCTGAAATAAGGTCTGTGGTTAATACAAGCTCAAGATATTTTCGTTTTGTTTTATTTTATGACATAAAATACAACAGTAATACCCCACTTGTGATTTTTGCGAACAGGTAAACTCATCTAGGCCGCTTTTTACAAATTGTTTATAATCATGCTCTTGCAAACTATTTTAAATCAAAATAGCATTTTGTAAATTTTCCAACTTGTAGATTTTAAAGGGGTCATGAACTGCCTTTTTTTAATTAATTTCTACTGTTCTCTGAGGTCCACTTATAATGTTATCAAGATTTTTTTACATCAAAAAACATCGTAATTTAGAAGTAATAGGCTATTTTCTGTCCTGTTTTGACCCCTCTCATCAGAACGCTCTGTTTGAATAGGTGTGGAGGATTGTAGACTTGGAAGCAGAGGCGGACAAAGTACTCAACTCCATTACTTGAGTGAAAGTACAGATACTGCTGGTCAAATATTACTCCATTACAAGGGAACGTTGTAAAGACAGATTTTTACTTCAGTAAAAGTACAGAAGTACTTGCTTTTAAAAGTACTTAAGTACCAAAAGTAAATTTCCTTTTTTATTGTTGTATGTAATACTTGCAATACTTCTGAAACAACTTACAATACATTACACCTACTGAATACACTGACTAGCTTGTAGTATCTTTGGAATAAAGAGCTTTTAGAATGTTAAAAACCTATGGGGGAAAACATTAACACCCCTACCCACCACCACAAAAGCAGGATGGTAGTGATCTCACACAGCTCTGACAGTGTGTGTACAGTGCACACATCTCTATGTAGCCATTCATCCACATTTGAACAGAGTGGACAGTGAAATCCTGTAAATACAGAGT